CAGTGACCCTGCAATTACCGTCCGATAACGTTTCTTCCTGTGCTTTTCAACACTGGAATCAATCATCAGATATGCGTTGATGCAGGATCTGAAAAGCCACCTCATAATGGTCCTGGAGTAACATTGCTTCCATCAAAACCGCTCATGCAGCGCCAATCTGCTAATTGCAAGCCATAGCTGTACTGACTCAGTTGACGGTGGATCAGTAGTCGATGCCACCGTCATCAAAAGCATTTGATCACTTAGATCACCGAATTCGCATCTGTAAGCATCAGAACCATGGAAGTGGCTGCCCAATTCTGTGTTGAATAGGCAATTTTCTACACGAACGCTGCTTACAGGTAAGGGTACGAGAACCCGTGACCGACGAAGTGGTGTTGGAGTGCAGTTTACCACAAGGCTCAGTGCTAGAATCTGATGTCTTCTTGGTATTTAAGAACGATCTAGCGAAGGCAGTTTCATCCCATTCCCTATGCCTTGCTGAAGATTTCAAGATATGACGAGCGATCAGGGAACCGGACGAACACGAAGTGTACCAGTGCGATCTTAACACCATTTCCAACTGGTCAGTACAGAATACCTGCCGTTCAGTCTGGGGAAAATGTCGTGTCATACGACTGCGCGATAGATATACCTATATGCATTGGCTTGGGTCACGCATTGCAAAAATTCATTCTTCCCTGCTTGCCACGCTTGCTATTCTGTCCAAAGAAGGTTGTCGGCATACTGTACGGTAGCTTGCATGAAATTTTAGTGTTTGCACTTTCCTTCTCCTTATTCCTTTTGGTGTTTTTACTGATGCCATGAAATGACATACCCTCAAAGATAGTGCGAAAGCTGGCGATTTACCAGCGGCATGTACAAAGACATTTCTAGCGTTACATTTGGATTCGAGTCCATGCGAAGAATGGTAGGTTGGATAACAACTAGGTGGTACGATATACTATGCCTGATGAGGGTCAGCAATTGCCTGATTTATTCTTCCTCACCCCCGTTTGACGTATTCTGATTGTTCGTTTGAGTTTAAGCTACCAGTATGGCGCACATACTACGCATTGATGGTTGCTGCAATATCTATGCTTTAGCTCCTCAATATTGGTTAGGGTAGTACAAGCAAACCTGATCTGCTACGAAATACAGTCCAGTACAAAAAACGCAACTAGAATGGACGAAATAAAATTAAAACACAGTTGTACTAATGTTTTACAACATAATTGAATGTGGAGAAGAAACTTTATTCCGGTCTACCAGATGTCACCTCAAGTTACCTACACGGTTTACATAAAACAATACCGGAAAAGTACTGAACTTTCGAAGTGTAATTCAGCTCTCGATGTATTCAGGTGCTATCACCGATACGTGGCCTTAATTATGTCAGCCTGAGAGCACATAGTTTCTGTTTGTTGCCTTAATCCAAGGAAATGTGCATTATCTAGACGGAAGGATAGAAATCTAATTATAGAAACTCCACGCTCATGAGAACAGACCGGCATCAAAATATTGGACGGCCGTCCATATGACTACAGCCCAATTATTTTCTATGAAAGTCTGACTAATTTGCTACTTGTTCGGAACACCGTGGTTTGTCAGTTTACTCCCAATTGACTCATAGCCAACAGCGAATCTGCCATCCTACTACCAAAGTAGAATGTAATGTATGACTGCAGAAATTTCGAGATCTTCAAATACGGGTAAACTTCACCCATAACAATGTTCTCGCTCATCTGCCTACGCAAAACCAATTGTAACCGGTGTCACTCGTTGTTCAATAACCAGTAACTTTAGGTATTTTGTGAGTGAAAGTAACAAAAAACTGTCTAGTCGTTGTTGATTACTTTTGACACTAAATTAACATCGAACATTTAACAACCTTTTATCACGAGTACGATTTGAGTAAGATGATTGAAGTGAAAAAGGAATGGGTGTATCGTATAGGTGGAAATTCATCAGCTAGTATACATCCGACCGCTACGTCATTTAGGGAATCCACGACAGCGTGCACTTCATCTGACACTTGTAATAATCAAACCCGCAACTCGATTATTACCAGTCAGTGTTGCAGACCACTGAGCTACATGGATGCCAACCGATATCGGGACGAAATTACTGAATGTGATTCCGCGACGCTCACTGTCCACTGACTTACGTTACCACCTTGCAGAGAACAGGGTAGTCGCTTTAACAACCGACTAACTTACCAAGCTAAAGCTGCCAAATAACTTACAGCATTATAAGCAAATTGATCTTCGTACTGATTACAGATGAGTAGTAGGGGAGTTAAGTCGTATGGGTAGCATTTGTGCACTACTGACGATACGCGAAACGATAAAACGGCCGTGCTTTTCCTGGTGTATGATGTCTGTCTGACTGGGACTAGAGTTGGTGAACTTTGCTTATATCATTTAACTCCCTCACTACTCTTCTGTGATAAGTGAACCAATTGTTTAAGCATCTGCCACTTTCACTACACTGCTGCATAATGATAGTTTTTAATGGGAATAAACTTTGCATACACAAACTAAACTGGAGAGCAGTTGTAGTTCATGTACTCCGTTAGAAGAAACAAATTAATCGAACTGGCTACGCTTAATCGTGTGCTGTTTTCTCAGACCGATGGGATGGGTAAGTCCATTTAGAGTAGTTTCTAGTGAGATCTTACAGTAGCAGTCAATATGAAAAGAAATGCAGGAGGTGAAAATGAGCACGCTGAGTGGCAGGGTTAGGTTGACACACGGACACCAACAGCTACATGCATGAGTGCGTCATCCAGACGTATTTAGAATAAGGTCGATGTGGGGGAAGAGACGACGTAAGCGGAGAGAAACTTCCAAAGCTGCGACACACGAAGTGAAACGAAATTGCGGCGGCATTCCAACTGGCTACACTGTGTGGTCAACTTTAGCTCGTGACCTGTCAGAGTGATATAGTGATTCAAATTCACAAGTTGCCAATAAGCACGGTCTGGTTTTCTCAGGATCCAATATGCAATTATCAAATTGCCAGGCAGGTATCTATACTGTCTACGGTAGAAGCCGAGGGTTCTCCTCTTTAGTCTTAAAGGAAGTTAAAACAAACCTTTTACCTACTTGTTCACCCTTCGTTACGACAGTTTAGGATGCTTTCTCGGTTTTACATGAAAAGCAAATGTCTTCTTGCCCTATCACATATAGGTTAATAAGAGCGCGCTGCAAAACCTGATCCCAGCAGAAACGAGAGTTGGTGAACAGGCTTGTTTCAGTGACACTGAAAGGAAGCACTTTCTGAGTCGCCCATTGTTCTACTTTTCAAGATTAACCTGAAGTGCTTTGTAGTCACTCGTTGTTTTAATCGCCCGCCATATCTTATGATCATCAGATAACAGCAATGAATTGGAAGGGATCACTCTCGCGAGGTCGTTTATATTAGGTCAGGAATAGGCTCGGATCAAGTACTGCGCCCTGTGGCAATACACACCAAACACAAGGTCAGAGATGACACGGCAAACTCTCAAATTCAGAATTTGTTGAATCAAGATTATCTATCCAGCTGTGAATTAGGCCACGACTATTACAGCTATGAAACTTGTGAATGCGGATGCGGTGGTTCAGACGGTCGAACAAATTTGAGAAATCAAGATAAACTGCATCAACTCCCGTAGCGCCGTCGACAGTTTCAGTTTAAATGAGGCGAAGAAGTAGCAGGGTTTGCGTAAGAACTGTGATGATGAAATCCATGTTGTACTGCTGTTCTTATTTTGCATCTTTCTATGTAGTACATGGGTGCTTCAGGAATAATAAAATATAAATTCGGATGGCAACAAAAGTAGTGTTAGCGGGCGATAGTTGGCCGAATTTGCTCGACATCCTTCTAGTGAATAAGAGCGCAGATGCCTTGCTTCTTGTCGGGAATGGATCCGCAAAATTCATTGCAGCTAACTTCAGCGCCTTTGGGGGAGTAATATCAGCTCCAGGAGTGGTACGTTTGCGTTGAGAAATCACACTTTTCAGAACACATGCAGCTGCACATACACTGTGGCCAAGTCCTGGGGGTGGTATAACTTGCGCGAACAGCATAGGCAATGTATTCGTGCTCTGGAACTTTGGGGAAAATTGCAGTCACATCATGTTGGTCGCTTCTGTTGCGGTTTGTGCTGGTTCCCTTGGCGTGCGAAGGGCAAGAGAACTTCAGTGCACCTTAGGAGCTTGTTAACAGGTCCATAAAGAGATTTCAGGTTTGAAGAGAATTTATTGGCTAGATCCCGTTCATGCTTTAGTGCCTCCTGGCGCACCAAGTTTGAACAGTGCATTTGCTGGTTAGTATAGACTTCTCATGTTTCTGTACCTGGTGACCCCCTTTAGTTTGTTCAGAGTGAATCTCTTGTGATCATGCACCGCGTCCTGTTGCGTATGAACGACTTTATTGTCATCGCGCGTGGGGACATGTCTCTCGAACCGCTGGCTACTAACTTGTTGAATTGATGAACAAAGTCCCACTAGATGACATTGGGGGTAGTTCAGCTACAGTTGACCAGTCATTTGTATCAATCAGTGTGGTCAGGAAGCTGCAGTCAGTAACATGCTGAGAGTCATCGGCATTTTATGCGAGCTTCTCTGCATAAGGTTTTTAGTTGAAGAGGATAGTTGTGTTGTCACTGCGGAACAAAAGACGGTCAATATTGTTCCCATCATAAGCACCTAGTGAGTGAACAGGAAATCCAGCATACCTGGTTTATTTTCCGTCCTCAGTCTCGTGAGGGAAGCAAGTTGGTTGTGTAGTGATAAACTAATGGTTAGCTCTTTTCATTCTATTCCGAAATTTTCATCGAGATAGTGCTGTTTGCTTTCGCACAGTTCTACCATATTTTATCAGATGCATTCGGAGGTTTTACTTGCTCCAGTCCCTCCATTTTTGTTCAACCGGAAAGAAACTCCGTTCGACTTAAGTTAAGAAAAACCCTTCATACACACGGGAAGTTTCTAACATTCCATCAGTTAATAAAATCATATTTACCTAAAACATACCCTTTTGTAAAGTGTCATCAACACCTCCGACTGTTGGTCACCAGCAAGAACGAGGTCCATGCTCCGATCAAACATGTTCAAGTCGCTGATGTACAAGCCGCAACCCTGTAGCTGTTGTGTGTTCCACAATCTGAAATTCAAAACAACTGCTAGAAAAGACTCATGGACGGTGATGCTGCTCAGAAAAGAACACCATTTGGTTTCGGTGATAAATGGCAAATTAGTACGGGGAATATTGTTGAATGAACTAGCTGACAAAATGTTGTGCAAAGCAGTATACATTCCAAACGAACTCCAACAAATTACGAAAGATAAAACGAAGTATAATTAGGCCCTGACCGATCCTGCCTATTTTTGACAATCTAAATTAATCGCCAGAAATATATCCTATTGAAGCCACATACAACTGACATGAGATTGTTTGCGGATGTTTCCATATATTGTGTCGTTAGGTTATACACGGTATAGTTTTAAGGGAATCATCCCAGTAGTTCACAAGCTACGTAACACAGTCTAATCCCCAATAAGGCGAAATCCATCCGGTGATTTTAAGGACTAGGCTGTGCTATGAATCTTGAGTACTACTGGGATGAATACTTTAAAATTGCGATTGAAATCCTGCTACTCATGAACACTATAAAAGATATTGTGGAAACCCATACGAATTCAGTCTGAGGTTTTAAAACTAATACATAAAATGAGTGAGTTGAAACTAAACTGTCCACTAACTACCGTATCACACTTGATGTCAATAAAAGTGCAGCTGGCATCGATCTCATGGTAAGGGGGCGCATGTTGTGTGGATCGACTCCAAATAGAGTGTGTTTTTCATTCCCAACCCCCGTGTACTGTTCTTACAGACTTAGAATGTATATGATGTGTGCAGATTGAATACAGTCAGTGTATGCTTTATCATATATATTCTTACCCTAGACACAGGTGTGGTATGTAGCGGGTAACGATCGCATCACTAGGTAACTCTGGAACTTTATAACCTGGAATCTTATAACAATAGTTAACTGTTCCCGTTGGTATGCATGTTTTTGTACTTTATGAAGAATACATGATTTTGTTACACACTGGGTCGCGGTTGCTTTCAGACTCCTCATCGGTTCACCATATCGAGCGTATAAGCATGTAGTTTATGAGAAGCTCATATTTTATCTATCTGACATCCATCGACCCTATCAGCGAACGAAGAAAATTGAAAGCGATGATGTGCATGAGGCCATTTCTGAAGGTCAACGGTGAACATATCTCTAGTATTGAGTTCTGCAGTAATATACATTCAGCAGACGGGTAACTACAAACTGAGAACATTGCTAAATAAGAAGGTTGGTATTCTGACCGGTGATTGGATAAAGAGAATCCGAACAAATGTTTATAAAAAGTCAAGCATATTTCACCAACGCCGTTTCTATTTCCGGTTCGTCCTGTTAGGCCATCACGTCATTAACAGTAGAAGAGCACCACTGCCAACTCCATGTTAAGCCATGTCATCTGTCTCCACAGCAAAGTGTCGTGCTAAAGCCCAATATCTGCCGTGAGGCTGATCAAGAGCCCAACATCGATGCCGGGCCGAGCGAAGGACACCTGACTGATGATTAATTGATAAAGTACAAGTGGTCCAATGAAGTTTAGGATGAATGCCACGCCGTCGAAGTCATGCGTAATGAATATGCGAGTGTAGTTCCTATTCCATCCAAAATCATAGACAACGACTAAATATGAATCTGACAGTGGGCTTCAGGTTTGTGACTTTACTCGTACAGTACGTACGCGGAGACCATAAACCCTGATAACTCATGGTTTGCTTAGCGTGTTATATATATATATATATATATATATATATATTTACTTAAGTAAATCAACGGTGAATCAGCAGGGTTTATCGTTGCCGAGTTCGTAAACGTATAATTATTAACATGTGGTATAAGCTAATATGATCTTGTCCATTGTATTGTACGAGAAACTCCTCATCTAAACGCCGAGATAATTGATCTAGCTTATTATTGACTTTCACGAGTTAGAGAAAAAGGTGCACCTAATTATTGATTAACAAGTAATCTCTGATTACCAATATGCAACTAATCCCCAAAGAAAATATCGCCTTACACCACGATAACAATGGGGAAGTACACATCTGGGCTTAATGGCTTTCGTTGAGCAACGAAACAAGTATAACCTTAAACTACCATTGCCACATAGATAGTTATACATAATAGACGTAGTTTATGGATATATATAATGCACAACCTACATTGGACTTCCCAAGAATAGAGCCATGTCCCAATCGTCAGCAAAACACATCTGTCCTTTGAACCTGTAGGCTGCTTGTGAAACTGAGATTCCGTGAGCGGAAGGACCTATTAAATAAGGCAGAAACAAAAAGTGACTGATTATTGGAGGAATAAGGAAGCGAGACCCAACAGAAAATAGCACCATTGGAGAATGACCGAACAGTATCATCTGTGACCCTAGCTGCACGTATTCTTAAGAACTGAAGATTCGGAACTATCGGCTAAAACCCGTGCTGAATCGAATGACAAAGCGAAATAATATTCTTTTAAAGGCAATCTTCACACGTGCCTGTCAACTGCCATCAAATTTACTAGGAGGATTGCATGATCCAACTGGAACTCGAACGGCAGCCATATTTTGCCGCGTTAACCAACCAATTACATACAAGCTGAACTCCGATGAATATGGCAAAATTCTACAGTACTGCACTGTCTTGAACTCGGTCCATGATATGTCATTAATACTAGCGTACACGGTTTAGCTTTTGCACAAATCTTGTGCAGCCCATGTCTCTCCGGATATTTCACAAGCAAATAAAGTTTAATTTTGGAAATTACAGAAGCGCAGCTGCCAAAAAATCTTCGTCCAACTTGTCCCCAAGATTTAAGTGCCGATCAAGCACAAGGCTGCATATTAAAACCGGAACCAATGATGATCCCTTTAGCACGGACCCCGGATTTGCATGCCGCCATTTAGTTCTTATAGCCACCTAGATCGTATTGTCAATCACGATTTGCTCTAGAAATGATGGAACTGAGCGGTTAGTTTAGATAAATTGGAATAATAATAATAATAATAATAATAGCGGCATGATGCACACTTTGCAGCAAGGTTCCATTGGGATTTCCTCTCAAGTTAGCGGGCTATGTGGTTTCACGCAAAATCTTTTCTAGGCAAAATGTCTGATGACAGGTGTGTTGGTACCGCATTGTTGCGGTGAATTCGATAATGTAATACAATCTACTGTCGAAGCTCGTGGTCGCACCCTTTACACTGTCAGCATCTGGCTTTAGAATAACAACTAAATGTAATCGGAGCTGACCCTAGTGTAGTCGTTGGAGTTCTTCAAAAGGACATTAAAGTACTAACATTCGCATCTGAATTGCATGTCCTCCTATTCACTGCTGATGCTATGCAATCCTTCTGCTATCTTTGATTACATGGATAGCTGACAAATATCATTTTATCGCCATGAATGTAACCATACAAAATTCTGTGGTTACTGGTACAATACTAGGCACACGGTGCATGCCAGTCCTCAAGATGAACTCTCCATTATGGATTATGGATACTCTTTGTGCTCGAAACGACATGCACTGCGGACCTGTTGATGACACTGAACCGGAACAAACTTGCTTTTCCTGATGCCTACTTTTACTATGAATCAAGAGATAAATGCGTTGTTTATCATTCACCCATTGCTATCCCAACGATGGTTGTTCACTTGGTACCTGCACTGAAATGTTAAAGCCGCAATCAAGTTATCTTCGCAAATGGGTTCATTACTCCAAATCTTGGACTTCCGTCATGCAGTAGAAGAGAGTTCAATGTCGACCTTCCACCGTTTATCACAGGCTCTCCAAGCTACAACACTGCCATATCTGGTGGAAAAAATCCTTCCACCCTCACAGATACTTGTATGCAAAGCTACAAAAGCACAAGTGATAAGGCTTGGTTTCATGATTTATTATGCATCAATACTCAAGTAAGCACAGCACACGATGCAGCTATTTTAGCTGCTATTACAACCAAAAGCAGGCCAGAAAGTTGAATCTCCTACCTTTATTTGTCCCTCTACCAGGTTCATGCCTATACAGGCGTGTCTCTCATTGTAATAACATTATAATAACACGTTTCCAACTGTGGCAAATATATACTAACCATTGCATGTCTCCCGAACATGTGAATTACTTATTCTAAGCTAAAGTTGCCTCGTCATGTGCACGGCGATCCGATTCGTCAAGATAATTGCACCTCCATTTATCGAGAAATGTACAGTATCATTATTTCTTGATGCACGCCGGTGGAACAGGTACTACTTCAATTTCACAATGCGCGTGGCAGTCCAGCGCTGGTTTAGCTCTCGCAGCAATTTTACCAAGCCGTGAGGTATCTCAAAAGATCAGGGGTACGTACACCACATAATTAAACGCTTAGATGGGACCGGAGGGTGATTAGAATAGAGTGTTTGCATCTTTCCTACATAGTATCCATTGGTCTCATTCTTACATATTTGGAGACGGGTTAGGTATACATTTCATTCGGTGCCATGGCAAGACAAGTGTTGAAAACACAAATACTCACCATGTACTTTCATGCTTGAAACCAGAGCTATCTCAAACGTGTTGTATCGATGAAGTTTGAGCTAAAATGTGAAAAACAAGTTAAATTACTTTCAAGCAAATGCGCTGTAGCAGCAGATTTGATTGGTGACTTCAAAAATTACAGCACATTGAAATATCCATCTGCTGTAAGACGATAATAGGACACTGGTTTATCTCGTACTGCCATCTTATGAGTCAACAAGGCTGTACTGCATTGAAGTACAATTCTTTCAGGAGGAAAACAAATGTGATTATCCTAGCTTATTCAGTTCCTTGCTTTCCATTAGCGACGTGGCATGTGTTGTAACTCAAATATCCAACTTGCAGTTGGAAATAGCAAAGTATAGGTAAAGGAGAGATGAATGCCCATCAGTAAATGTCCCAGTTGGACATAGATGCTACACAGCTACCGGCCTATAGTTCAACAAAAAGGAAAGTAAGGTACACTCCGTAAGGGGCCAAACCACCTGCTCCTACAGGCGCGTTTTGCATATTTCACAGAGTTCTTCTATCGAACGTGACTGAATTGGGTTGGTTCAATCGGAAAGTATGGGAATTTGGTAATTAGTACTTTGGAAAGTTTTGGAAAACGCGTGGTCAAACAGCCAACGCACTGCTCTGTTATATGTCGAATACTCAGTAAAGACGTGGCAGTCATCAAGTTAACAGATCATCCCTGTTCCGAAGCTGCCTCAATGGACGGCGTTCAATTATGCAATTGGAATGCGTTATGTCCAGTAAGAGTGGAATATAGGCTGTTGGTGATTATTCAGCGGACGTTGTCTTGGACTACTAAGCGATCTATTACCAGAATAAACGCTATATCTCAGTTAGTTTGTAAATCATGACGGTCCGAAGCTGTCCCCCGTGGCCCAGTGGCAAAAGCTGCTGACTGGCGATTCAAGCCGTTGGTAGTCGTGGGTTCGAATCCTGCACCGATGGATGCGCATTACTGATGATGCCCAACAGGTTGAAACTGCATTCTAGTGACTTTCCGGCCAGGGAGAAGACTATCTTATTTGGATGCTGGCTATGAAGCACCACAATTAACTCAGTTACTAATTGCGTACCTGATTTTGTGGAGTTCGAATAATTACTGGTACACCAACAAAACAGATTTCTAGAGAACTACTCACTGGAAGTATTGGAGCACTAAAGACGAGTGCAATGCCGAAGAACCTTTTCTCTTCATGTACATCAAATTTCACACTCAATCACCGGATGTGTAGTTTCTGCAACGAAAACGACCATATTTAATAATCAGTTGGATGACGCATTCAGTCACCTACATCACGTAATTTTGCCTTTTCATTCTGTACCACCACTCGAAAGACCATGAACACAACATTCTTCACCTAGTCTCGCCAAGAGACGACGCGGAGAGCATCGCTGCGTCACAAACACGTAAAATTATGAACCATTTTCTTACCAGTAAAAGTGCAAAGCTCTTTTACCTGAGAACATGCTAAAATGCTCGCCAGCTACCAAGAAGCGGAATACCCGAAATAGCTCACGTTTGTACCAGCATTACCGGTAAATTTGCTCACATTATTTTACTGCCTAGTTTATCGTCGTCGACTATGACCGCAACGGTTACAAAGAGGCTATCTCATATATATAGTTTACGTAGTATCAAAAGGAAATTTCCTTAGCAGTAATCTGCGATCTCGGTTGGAAGTACACACTCTACTGCTTTGTCTCATCATGTTATTGCTGCTGACAAGCTTACAAAAGTATAGAGAAATTACTAAAATGTTCCGGTTGACGCTTTATCCAATACGCGTAAAACATTTTCGATCCATTCAGCATGAGTAGAAGCAAACCGAAGTTAGCTCGACATTCTAGGTTTATATCAAAGCGAATTTCAAAAGACCTCAGTCCTTGACTGCCCTGGTAACAACTACATCTCAACATACATCGACTCCGTTAAGGGACAAATAAATACCAACTGGCGCTTATATCGAAAGAATACGTTGTTCGAAGAATCTAGTGGTCTTTAACAAACCGGATAAAATTTCAATAACAGGTTATAAAATATTTTACTAAATGCAGCAATATGAAAAGCAGAGTGTAGGTGTTTAATAATCGAAAGATGTCGTTCTCTTGCACTTGACAGATAAAATGATTGCCAATGACTTTGTTTAAAGTTGTGACCAGAACGCAAAATACACAACGTTCAAAGCACTAAAGATCACGATGGACAAAACGCTACTTCAAAGAAAATCTGACAGATCCGGGAACAGATATTTCCACCCAGAAAGTGGCTACGTCACTACTACCCCCTACAATATTCATTTAGGTCTACGGCCCCACTGAACGGAGATAATAACGTGAGATTACAGCCAAGTCCAAACGCATTGAACCATGTTCGAAATTTTCTGGCTGCCTATTTGCCGCTGACAAAGAATCGATATCTGCGTCTGGACACCATGGGCCTTATTTCCCAAGTTATTCACTTAATCCAGTGGGATGCGAGAGTAGCAGATCTCCGACAATCACTCCCACCGACGTGGTTTCCCGATCCAGCTACAATGCCTTGCATGTTTTTCAGGTCGGTTTGTCACTTCCTCAAAACACTCATGTTTGTGAAACTACAGCTTTGAGTCCTCCACATGGCAAAGCCAAGTCACACGCCACTTGATATACACGACAAGATATACAAGCAACGGCACAAGTGCAGTTGGCCCTTTGTGAATTACTACGCCGGCGTCGAAGCACTTGATAAACTTGGACAATTGGGCATGCACTTTAGCAATCATTCATGCTAGTATATTTGTCACACCTTGATCACGCCTGATTTGGTGTGTCTCTATAAATTTGCGAATAAACTATTTATTTATTTATTTATCAATACGCAATAAAATAACATCACTGTAATGACCAATCGAAAGACATGTGTGCTTCTGTCTATGTGCTCGATGTCCGGAACATCCAGTCGCAACGCACTGCAAGCCCAATGAGACTCACAACCATTATGCAAGCACACAAGTCCCTTGTAAATTTCATTAATACGTCTACAATATTATTATTTTATTAGTGCTCGGCTTTTGCTTTTGTAAATAGTCTCTATTTATGCAGAACTAATACCTAGTACTTTATTCCAGCAAAACATAAATGTTCCTAACTCACACGAAAGTATTACCACGTCCCAGTGATCAACATCGCATAGGTTTGCTTCAAAGCAAATTGTAGCTTCACTAGCGACTGCGTATCGCAATCCAGACACAAGGCTGTACTCCATGAGCCAATAAGGAATTTCTACCACTGTATGAAGCTCTAGTGCCTAGTGACTTGGACGAAAGCCATCAACCGCTGTGTTGGGCTCCCCTCACAGCTCAAACTATCTCCATCTGACGAGTTCAAAGCAGGACGAAAGAGTTCGGTCATGAAGTGCAGTGTTAAGCGAAAGCAGCTTCGAAACTCTCCACTGACCACATTGCTTATTAACGGCAGTTCTCTAAAAAATAACTTGTAAGTTCTTTGTCAAATCGTACATCTATCAAGCCCACAAATGTTTGGGAACACGGAATCCTGTCACAACGAGCAGACGCATGCGTAGCACTAACTTATCCTGCGAGAACAGGTACTCAAGTAGTCGCCACGGTCGAAGGTTAGGGAGTTGCAGAAACATATTGCTATAGTGTTTCGTTATCTGTGGCTGAAACAAAGTTTGATAACTTCGTAAAAGTGTCAGTATATCGCCGCAAAGTTTAGACGAAAATGCTGTCTTCCATCATGGCTGAGTGGCATAAGCTGCTAAGTAGTTGGCGTTAGCCTCTAGCAGTCATGAGTTCGACCCTCGGTAGGGGACCGATGGAAGCGCACCACTGACGAGCACCAACAGGGCGAAACGCGCTTCTGATGCCTTTCGAATTCGCAGCTTACCTATGCGGCTTAGAATCTAATTGCGATGAACAAACTTGGATCATACCGAAATGCGTCTACACATACGTATTCAAAAATCTGAGCCTTAACAGTATTCAAAATTGCAGTGTGGATTCACGGCGCTGGCAAGGGTAGACCTGACCGTAAAGGCCAATCGCTGTCCTCTGCACGGGCACTAACCTGCATGGCAGTGGTGGATGGGTAGGGCTATATCACAGTTAGGTTTCAATTCGTAATGATCGGTTGTCGTCCCCCATGGCTCAGTGGTATAAGCTGCTTGCTAGTTGACTTTAGGGTCTAATAGTCATGGGTTCGATCCCCAGTAAGGAGCCTATGGATGCGCAACGCTGACGACCTCCAATAGGGCGAATCGCGCTTCTGATGCCTTTCCGGATTGGCAGCTTACCCATGCGGCTTGGAATCTAATTGCGATGAACCAACTTGAAGCATATCGAAATCTGTCTACGCATTCGTAATCAAAAATACGACGCTTCTCAAACTGCTCGATCTAACATATGATAAGCTCTTTTTTTCAACTTATACACACGTAAAATAATAAGGTACTATACGTTAGTTCGACTTATTCCACAGTATTGAAACACATTTATACTGGATCGGGTTCAACTCACATTTACATTCGTGATTCTGGATTCCACTCAACAACTGACTTACACAAAATGCCGAAGAATGATACAATTTAGCTCATAAGGGCCAAAGTCAACTAGTCACTCCGTTACCATGTAATATATTGAAACACGTATGTGCCAGTTTTGGGGTATGAAACAAATCATGCATCCTGTCGCACAATAAACCACGTGCCAGGCTCTTCCTTAATAAATACTCAGCTATCTAGAACAGGTTCGCATAATCCTTAAAATCTTACTCTTTTCCGTAAATGTTCCGTGAACGAACGAACAAATATATCACACTATACAAATCAGTTGAGCTATTCTGAAGAAATGGCCCATTGGAAAGGCATAAAAGGCATATAATGTGCAGCACAATTGATGAACACAACCAAAGCCAAGTCAGATAAGGGAGCAGTGTACGTCTGCATATTCATTCACTTTTTCCTTCAGTTCTTTACCAATTGATTTACCATCTACAGCTACAACTGGTTGGTGAAAACACTAGCCAATTGGAACTTACAGCTTTA